TACAATTAAATTCCCCATTCTCTTATATCTTTGAAAATTTATTATAACAAAAAAGAGAATAGAAAAATTTTTATTCATTAGTTATTCATGAAATCTTCATAAATATTTATTTTAATGTTGGATATTTGTCAATCAATTTAATTTTGACTGATGAAGTTCTTTTCATCTTTTGTGAGGTATTGGTGTGGTTTTTAGTTAGATTGTTATTATATGCTAGCTACCACAATAATGTAAAAGCCTATATATAGGCATTGTAGGCTGATGTATAATTTAGGGAAAATTGATTAAAGCTTTTGGAAGATTTTCCTCCTAAAATCTTTTATCTCTCCCTCTCCTCCCTTCTCTCTCCCCCTCTCTCTTGCAAGATGATCAAGAAGAGCTCAAGAACCCCTCTAGAAGTTCTAACAAATGGTATCAGAGCCTCATTGAGGCGATCAATGGAAGGAGGATGTGATATTGTGATCCATAAGGGCAGTGCAAGCATGCGTGATGTCCTGAGTAAGGTGGAAGTCCGGAGGTGGAAAAGTTATTACGTCAAGACAAAAAATAGGAAATACGGACAAATACCGAGCGATACGGAGTGTTGTACTGAGCACGGTACCGAGCACTAAAGAGACGTGGCGCTTTCTTATTGGTCTTTGAACGCATTTGATGTCCAGACACAATAATTACTCCCAGAGGTGGCTCCGCAGGTTGTTTACAAGGTGCAGGGCGATCATGTCACATCTAGATTTTCCTACTACTAACTTGATACTCCTGCACAGTCTCCCCTTGCATAATAATCTAAAACTCTACATTTTCCACGTGCCTCTTCCTTGAATTGACCTCAAGTGTAAGGCAAGATTAGAATAAATGAAGAAATGGCTAGGTTGGGAGCCAAATGATGAGCACAATTGGTCTTGGTTGAAGTCCATGGTAAAGGCAAGTAAAAAAGGAGTAGCTTAGTACTCTCCTCATAAAAGGTTAAGAACCTTCACTAGGCATGTCAAAATTAAAAGTAGACTTCTCTGCTGGGTAAAAAAATATTTTTCATGGTAAGGAATTGACACTTCACTTCACCTACTTCTCTTATGACCCAGCTCTACTGAAGGATGAGATTTGCTAAGCTGCCTTTGAACTTGGAAAAATTATTACATCCGGTGAAAATACCGAGCAATACCGAGCATACCGAGTGTACCGAGGACGCTGTACCGAGCACGGTACCGAGCACTTTAATGACGTGGGGTTTTGTTATTGGTTTCCGGATGCATTCGGTAACCTGACGGAATAATTACTCTTGAACTTGACCCAACACTATTTTTCTTGTTGCTGCAAAAGAATAGTAGTGATACTCCAACTATATTCTGGAGAATGTGAACGTGGCTTGCTAACATTATAGCTATATATTGGTGATGAATTATAAGTGAATATTGGGAATAAAACCACACAGCAAAAAGCAAACAAGAAAAGAAAGGCAGCGAAAAGAAAATCATTATTTAACGTGAAAAAATGTTAAATTAAAAAATCAAGGAGCCACATCATACTATGAAAATTAGAAAAATTGTACAAATCTATCTTCTCCTACACTCTCATTATCTCTTTTCACTTCTCACACCATTCAACACTCAGAATAGACAAAATTGAGGTCTAAGTCAATTTTGAAGTAATAATACCATTCAAGTGCCATAGATCAAGAAAATGGGTAAGGTTCTACATATTAGCTTAGTACAAAAATTTAGCAAGTACAAATGAACGTATCAGATAAATAAAAATTATGTTGAAACCTCGAAAAGGGAAAAAATTATGAGGCTTGACCCAGTTGAAAAATCCACTATATATTAAATAATGCAAGAATCCTCGTTTCTTCACTATTGAGGAAGAGGGGGATTAAACAAATATTTGATTGTTTTATGAAGATTATAGAAATCAAGTATCCACAGAAAGAAATTTTTTTTTTAAAAAAAAATAATAATCCACATAGAGACAATCTATACCCAACAATAGGAATTTTTATTAGGTCAAGTGTCCTGACGTAGCTCTACATTCGGACGCCAGTAAAATGATGCCACGTGCTCTTATTCTTTACCGCGCGGCCCGACGGCCAGACCCGGACCGGACCCGGGATTGCTATGTATTGGTTGATTTGTGCAGACCGAGGTATTGCTAGGTATTGCTCGATATTGCTCGGCAATAACGAGAAATACCATTATGTCAAGACCAATACATAGCAATATCAAGCAATACCCCAGTTTTGCTAGGTATTGTTCGATATTACTAGGTATTGCTAGGTATTGGTCTTGACAGAGCGGTATTTCTCATTATTGCCAAACAATACCTAGCAATACCTGAACATAGCAATACCAGGTTCCGGTCCGGGTCGGGTCATCGGGCCGCGCGGTAAAGAGTAAGAGCACGTGGCGACATGTTATTGGCCTCCAGATGTAGAGCTACGACAGGGCACTGGACCTAATAATGTTTGAGACGTTTAGATAGACTTATCGAGCCGCTCAATTTGAATATATGTATGTCTGATTTTGAGCTCATTTGTCAATCCACTTAATGTTTGAATTTTCCAATCATACTTCAGCTGTTTGATTTGGGCTCATTTGAGCTCTGATTGGACCACTTTTGGTATCATTCGGTTCGTCTCATTGAGACGTTCAGATCAACCATAAGCTCAGTGAAATCAGAGTTTGGATGGTCCCAAATTTAATTTTGAAAGTTTTCATTTCAAATGTTCATTAAGATTCGCACCCGATCAAGATGGTTTTTGGTGGAATATCAATTGATCATCCGGCAATCTATTTTTTCTTGATTGATTAAAGATTAGTCTTCTTTCTAAAGTATGTGTAAAAAGTATAAAACAAAAGAGAATGCTTATTGAAATGACAAGGGTTATTGTAACTACAGAGAAAGTAGATAAAATAATTGTAAACCATCAATCACCAATGCCATTATTCCTTTCTTAGACTAGAGAAAAGCATACGTGCCATGTTTGTTTGCTCCTTGTCCACTTTCTTGATTCTCAAGTTAAGACTTTAATCTTTTTTTGTTTGCTTGTATTTTCTTTATGTAGGACTATTAGGATGCATTTTTTCTTTAATAGATTGAAGAACATGTTAAATTTGTTCTCTCCATCACATTACACATTACATTATGTAGAAGCTATTTATTTTTTTCTTTCAATGAATTTATTAGTTAAATTTTTTATCAAGGAGAATTGGGTTTGGTTAATAATGCCTTTTTTTTTCCCCTATTTTCTTACTTTGCATCCTTAAAGTCTTTTAATATGTGACTTTTTGAATAAGCTCTTTGGTTATATTCTCTTCCACAAATTGTTCCAAAAAATAATCTTATCACAATTTATTGCTTCTTTAAATGATATCTACTCATCCTTTAGCTAATATTCAAGGATGGTAAGTGCATAAGCAATTAAATGATCAAAATTAAGTAATTCATGAGCCTTTATATATCTTCTTGTTTGATATGCTAGATTGGAAATCCCCCAAATTTGTTTGAACTTCCTAAGTAACAACTTGATGATGGTTATGACTATTATCCTTTCCTATCATTAGTTTCACCTACTTATGATATTACTTGTTTGTTCGTAAAGTTGGTGGGAAAAATTCAAATATGAGCTTCACCTACTTATGATATTAAGCATACATCTTTAAGTCGATATGGTCAAACAAACTCAAATAGAGTATTATGGAACCACATCCACAACTCTTTACATATATCTCAACAATAACAAACGTAAAAGAGAGTAAGTCATTTTTGGCATCAAATCTAATGATAGAAAATAACATATGGAATGTTGTTCAATCAAAATATTAACAAATAAATTTATATTTTTGTTTTCAATGTTGATAATCTTTATAGTACCACAAACACTACATCAGTGTTGTATTGTGTATAAACTAAGCAGCAACTCATCCGATATTGTGATAATCATATTAGAATACCACAACTTTCACATATATAATCAGCAAATATTGTCTAACCGCTATTAATATTATTTACAAACTTCATCATTTGTCATATGAATTGCAATATAACCATCATAGTACAATATGAAAATAATTTATGTTGGGTTAATTGTAAATAATGAATTATCATATTCATTCATAAACTTTTATTCATTCATAAACTTAGAGAAATGCTTGAAAGAGAGTATGTGAGAAAATTGGATAAATTGAAGAGAGATGAAAATAATTTTTGGGAGAAGTGAAGAGAGTGGAAAAGAGTGAAAAGATCTCAGGGAGGAAACTAAGGAGAGAGAGCTGGGAAGTCAAAAAGGTAAAGGGAGGATTTGATATAGAAAGAGAGCGTGAGCAACGGGTAGTACTGACCCCTCCCAACGGCTAGCACAAGTAGCTACTTGACATTTAAATTAGAAGCTGACTAAAGTTATCAATCAAAATAGTTTACCTATATCTTTGTTGGCTATGAGTGTCAACAAGGCATGGATTGGCGTGCGTAGCAGCTTCGTTGTTCAATTATTGGACAACTTGCTCATTTTGAATTTTTTTCAATCATTCTCCTGCATCCCACGTAGTGGGATAAAGGCTTGATGTTGTTGTTGTTGTTGTATTCTTCTGCATAGAAACCACTTCAATAAGCCTGATGAATTATTCTGTCCGTATATTCGACTGGGAGAATCGTCCGATTTATCTCTATGAATAACTAAACTTTTACTATTTACATATGCAAAATTGGACGATTCTTCCTGTATCCGCACATAATAATCTCTGCTTTTGCTAATCCATTGGCTGGCATTAGAAATCTACCATAGGAAAGACAAAAATCATAAATTTTAAAATAATATTTTCATAAATTTCTATCAATAATAAAAATATTTTTAAATATCATAAATTTTATTGTAAAAATAATAGTTATAACATATTTCTCTTATAAATTTATTTTAAAATTAATATAATATCAAAAATATATATAATATTAATCATAAAATAAATTCAATAACTTTTTATAATTTTTTTCTTATAAAAATTTTCGTGGAATTAAAGACCAAGAAGTTCCTGTGAAACTTCATATCATAAGCATTAAGAAGTGCATCGCAATCAAAACCCCACGATACAGTCAGAAAAGGAAAAAAAAAAACTAAAAAAATAATAATCACGAATTTCTGCTCCTCCGCCCGTTAACGAACAATCAAAAATCAATCAGAGGACCAGCTCCGGGATTAATTCCTAATTAAACTTTACAAGGAGGAGACACGAACCCGCCAAACCCTAATCTCCCCATCCAAACTGCCGCTACAAACTCTGTACTCCTCGTCATCACCGGATCCTCCCCCGTCCCTGCCGGAACCTGGCATCATCACCGCCACAAGCGATCGCACGCCCTTCGTGTGGCCACCCATCACCGCGAGGCAACTGTACGCTCTTCTAATCCCGTCCCTCCTCCAAACCCTCACAACTCCATCACCAGAGCCACTCACGACAATCTCGCCGGCACAAGCGAGGGAAAGAATCGCCCTCTCGTGACCCCGAAGAGTGCCGGTGACCGTCATGTAATCTGCCTTCTCGTTCCTCTCCCACACCAAAACCGACCGGTCGCAAGCGCCGGAATACAGAACCGAACCATCACCGCTCAGCGCTAGCGCATTCACCGCCGACCGATGTCGATCAAGCGTTGCAATCAGCTCGTGCTGCTTCGCTCCAGCTGGTCGCGTCCAAACACGGATCCTCCGATCAGCCGACCCCGTGTAAACGGTGCCGTCGGCCGCGACCACTATGGCGTTCACGGCATCCTCGTGCGCCGATACGGATTCCAGGCAGCGGAGGCCGGAGACCGACCAGACTTTAAGGGTTTTGTCCCAAGAAACAGAGTAGAGGAGGCCGGAAGCGTCGGCGGCGATTCCGGAAACAGCATCGGCGTGCTCTATCCAGAGGCGCTTGTGGTGGCGGCGGATGGTGACGTAGTTTTTTGGAAGGGGCAATCGGCGGAGGCGATCAGCGGTGGTGGGGAGGGAGGTCACGAGACGATGAAGGCCGGACCGGGATGAACGGTTCCATACGCGGATGCGGCCGTCTTGATGGGCGGTGAAGAGGGCGGAGCCGTCGGGGGAGATAGAGATGGATTTAGCGGCGCCGGCGCCGGAAGGTGCGGGGAGGGATTCGATGGGGCGAAGGTCAGAGAGGTCGTAGACGGAGAGGGTGGATTCAGTAGCGGAATAGAGGAGGAAGGAGGTTGCAGAGGCATGAGTGCGGCGGTGGCGGCAGAGGAGTTGCTGGTGATGGAGGAGATGCAGAGGAAGGAGGCGGAGAAGAGAGGGAATGTGTTAAGAGGCGGAATTAGCGATTGGAGAGAAGGAAGTGATGGATGTGTGACTACAGATATCGCATCATCGAAGGCTGAGACAGAGTTTGAGGATGACAAGGGGCTAGAGCCAGGGGTGGCTCCAGCAATGCCATCTCTATAACCGCCGCCGCAGGCTGCGGAGTTATCGTCCTCGGCGGCGGAGGAACATTCGGAGCACAGCCAGGGGAGCGGCACTAACATTGGAGTGCAGCGAGCGTGTTTGGTTGGCTGTGGGGTTTGATGCATATATTTATTGGATCGGCGAGCAAGGGGTTAATGTCTAAGAAAAACAGATTTTTAAAAGTTTTGTTTTACAAATTTACCTTTAGTTTTACGTTTGTGCAAATTTATTTTTCATTCACACGAAAATATAAATGTGAAAATATTTTAATAAAATATTGATTAAAATAAAATTTAAGTCGATAAATTTATTTCAAAATAAATAAAATTCAAATTAATTAAATTTTATATTATAATTTTCTCAAAATTGAAATTAAGCCTATGCTCCCCAAGTATTAAGCGCTGATTTGTAGTCAACTGTTACAACCGTGCAAAGATGCTAGAATAATAGACTGGGATAATTGTCTTTTAATTTTTCTAAAATTTAAGCAAGTATTATATAATTTTTGAGGTTTAATACATATTAATTTTTTTATGTAAAAACTTTCTTCCAACATTTATTAAATCAAAAGTCAAATTAGTCATTTAGCATTTTAAATATATATATTTTTATTTTTTTCAAGAATTATTTACATTTTTAATTAATGGTTAATAAAATCATTTGAGTTCTTTTTGTTAGATTATGGTGATTAAAAAAACATTTTTTAAACACTGTCAGTGTCTGGTCTCAAGTCCTAGATGAGGAAATGGAGGGTTGTGTTAGGTAATTGACAATCAGTATAAAATTTGTTGAATAATCATGACATGAATCATTTAATACATTGTGTTAATAATTTTTTTTTGAAGCAACACGCTGTATGACCAGAATAAAATGAGAAGTGTGCAAGGGCTGCTGCATCGGCACCCGGATGCAATGTTAAATGGGCAAGGGTTTCTATATCATGGACGGATGCTGGCAAATAAGTTAGTATATGAAACTAAAATTATGTTAGAATTGATGAATGTAGTTCCCTTAGAGGTAAATTAATGAAATTAATTTATATTATGATTCATATGAAGATAAATATTCTATTTATTTAGAAAACTAAATGGGAGGGATAGATTAAGGCTAGGGGTGTCAATTTCGGGTCACGGGTCGGGTTCGGGTCGAACCCGAACTGACCCGAGTTCAAACGGGTCAACCCTAACCCGACCCGGGTAGACAAACGGGTCGAAAAACAGAACCCGGACCCGACCCGGCGGGTTGCCCAGTTCGTGTCGTGTCAAATATTGACATGATAGTTTATGGTTTAAACTTTGTTGTTCTGGTAGAAGTCATATTAGAAATGGTGTACATGTGATTGTAGATAAAACTTTGAAAGATAATGCTATAAAAATTGATAGAATATGAGATAAAATTATAGATTTGAAGATTATTGTTGATGATAATATTATTAATATTATAAGTGTTTTTGCTCTTTAAGTATGTTTGAATATATGCTCAAAATTAAAATTTCAGAATGACTTAGAAAATTAATACAAAATATTTCTCTTAAAAAAGAGTTTTTATTGGGGGAGATTTAAATGGTTATATTGGTAGAGAATTTTAAAAGCATTCGTGGTGGCTATGAGTTTGGAGCGACTAATGAAGGCGGTAAGATTATATTAAATTTTGTTATTGCTAATATCTTATTTAAGAAAAAAAATGAGCATATCATCACTTATAAAAATAGATATAGTAAAGCTTAGATTGATTATTTTCGTATAAGAAAAATAGATCGTTTAGATTGCAGATATTATAAAATTATTTCGAGTCAAAGTCTATGTACCCAACACCGTTTATTAGTTTTGAATTTTAAGATCAAGGGCCAGAGTATGAAAAATACAATATATCATTGTTCTAGGATTAGATGGTGGCATTTAAAATATCTTCGAGAGTAAGATTCACGATCTTAAGATTCTGTCGGCATCTGAGGAAGCTAATATTATGTTGAAAATAGTAGATTGTGATATTAATAATGTTGCAAAACATGTAGTTGGAGTATCAAAAGAAAAGGTTTCAAATAGTAAAAATAGTTGGGGTTGGAATCAAAATATGCAATAAATGGTTAAAAATAAGAAGTATTGTTATAAAAATTGATTTAGATGTAAAAAGAACAAAAATTGGGAAAGATATAAAGTTGCCCGTAATGTGTCTAAGAAAGCATTCTGCGATGCAAAGATTTTAGCTTTTAATGATTTATATAATATAATAGATACTAAAGAGAGCGAAAGATATATGTAAAAGCTAGCAAACAAAAAGAGATATGAATAGTAAGGATTTAGTTTAAGTAAAGTGCATTAAGGATGAAGATCAAAAAGTAATTTTTTATAAAAAGATACTCGACAAAGGTGGATGAGATATTTTGCTAATATTTTCAATGAAGATTGTGAAAATACGATTGACTTTAGTTACCTTAACAATCTAAATGAAAACATAGACTTTTATTTTTATCCATGTATTACTAAAGCTGAAGTTAGCTAGAGAAGCTTTAAAGAAAATGAAGTGTGAGAAATTTGTTGAACCTGACGATATTCCAGTATAGGTGTGGAAATACTTAGGAGATAAAGGAATTTCTTGGCTTACTAAACTTTTTGATATTATTTTGAAAACCAAAAAGATGTCAAATGTGTGGAGAATGAGTGTGTTGATTCATTTCTTTAAGAATAAAGGTAATGCACAATATTATGCAAATTATAGAGGAATTAAGTTGATGTGTCATACTTTAAAAATATGGAAGAGAGTTCTAGAGCATAGTTTACGACGTGATACTAAATTTTCTCAAGATCAATTTGGATTCATGCTGGGTAGGTCTAATATGGAAGCTATACATTTATTGAGAGATTTGATAGAGAAGTATTAAGAGAAAAATGAAGATCTTCATATGATATTTATTGATCTAGAGAAAGCATATGGTAAAGTTCCAAGATAAGTGTTATGGAGAGTTCTAAAAAAAGAAAGGGATTAGTAATGCTTATATTTAAGTCATTAGGGATATGTATGTTGACACCATTACTTATGTTTAAACACAAGGTGATTTGACAAAATATTTTTCAATTTCGATTGGATTACATCAAGGATCAGCCTTAAGCCTATATCATTTTACTTTAGTCATGGATGTTCTTACTAGTGATTTGCAAGAGGATGTTCCCTTGTGTATGCTTTTTGCTGACAATATTCTTCTTGTCGATAAGACTAAAAAGGGAGTTGAAAATAAACTTGAATTATGAAGGTCAACTTTAGAGTCTAAAGGTTTTCATTTGAGTAGATTTAAAACCGAATACATGAAGTGTAGTTTTAGTAGTAATAGTTCTAGTGAGGGGTTTGTGGCTTTGAGAGATCAAGTCATTAATAAGAGTACACGTTTTAGATATCTTCGATTTATTGTTCAGAGTGATGGTGAAATATATGGGGCTACTATTAGTAGAAATTAAGTTGGATGGATGAAGTGGAGGAATGCATCGGGCTTGTTGTGTGATAGAAAAGTACCACTCAAATTTAAGAAAAAATTCTATAAGATGGTGGTTAGACCTACAATGCTTCAGAATGTTAGCCATTAAAAAAGAGTAATATTAAGTTAAGTGTTATAGAGATGATGATGCTCAGGTAGATGAGTGACTTTACTCTTAGATACACGATAAGAAATGGGCATATATGTGAAAAAGTTGGAGTAGCTCTAGTAGTAGATAAGATTAGAGAGAGCCGCCTTAGATGGTTTGGTCACATAAAATGGCAGCCTTTTGATGACTTAATTAGGAGAGATGATGTTTTAGATTTAACCTATATTAATAAATGTAGAGGCCGTATACCTAAAAAGTCTTGGTTAGAAAAGGTAGAGGATGGTGGAAATCGATGACAATGATGGTTCGATGGCAACCAACAAGAGGTGGTAGCTGACAGCAGGGGGTAGCAGTGGTTGACAATGGGGGGCAGTGGCAGTCAACAACGGTGGTAACGATCGGTGGTGGGTGGCAGCAGCGGGCGACAATAAAAGAACTTGCTTGTGGTGAAATATATTTTAACTCTAAACTACACGAGTTTATTTTACCACTAAAAATGAATTAAAATATTTTATAATGCATTCTTTTTTTACATTACTCTCTATTTCTTTTTCATCTAAACAAGCACCAATATTTTGAAAACTCATATAAAAGTATGAATTTACACCCACTTTACTTCAAACAAAAAAGCCCCATGAATAAAATATTTATCTATCTGTCTAATTTTTATTGCCGAGAATTTTAAGAATATTTTTAATGGCTATTTTTAATAGAAAGTTAAAAAAAAAAAAAAAAAAAAAAATCAATTAAAGCATTCCTTTGAGGCTTTAGTTTTGATCACATCATCGTAAGATTAGTTGGTGATTAACTTTACTTATCTTCAATCTTTTAATTTATAGAATTTTGGAGGTCGTTTTCTTTTATTTATCTTCAATCTTTTTTTATAGAAAGTTATCGTAAGATTAGTTGGTGATTAACTTTACTCACCACTAGTATCAAGAGAACTTTGGCTTTTTAAATTGCAACATTTGGGTTTTGTTAAGCGTTCGTTTGGGACAGTAAAACTGTTCCAAATGTTGCTTTGTGTGTGGTAAAGCTCTTGCGTGATGTGTATTTATTGTGGAATATATTGTTGGTGCTCTTACTCTTTAAGCAATATCATGCAAACATTTATCCACCCACTCAAGTGAGTAAAATAGGGCTGCAAACGATCTGTGCCAAGCTTCGACATGTTTGGGATCGAGCTCGTTTGCCTAGACCGTGTTTGTGCTCGTCTCAATAAGATTTGAGCTTCTTTGATACATGTTCAAGCTCAACTCGTATTCTAATTTGAGCACAATTCATTTTAAATTTATCAGGTTCTTTTATAAATCGAGCAGCTTGGGACCCGTCCGCTTGTACAAGCGCACCCGTGTGCTGACCCAACCCTTCGCGTCCACCCGTTTTAGACAAAATCCCACTATCTTTCATTATATAGTGCAATATCATATTGCTTTACATAGTGTGGGGCTAATTGACTAAACCAACAGTTTTTCTTTCCTTGATGCATAAGAGGGAGAGTG